TTGCTCTTAAAAGTAGCTTTTTGTCATCCAACTACTGTAAAAATTTGCACAGCTATTAGGGTAAATAAGGCATTTTACCAACGGAGCCCCAAACCGCGAAGCACCTAGTTCCATATCTGTAAGGATTTTGTCCTTAATTGCGTCCTTAATTATGTCATCAGCCTTCGCTGGCTTCCCAGACTAAAAAGTGGGTGGTCCCTCTGTGGGCTCTCTGTCCCCTCTCCTTCCCAGCTACTCGGGAGGCTGAGACAGGAGGATCGCTTGAGTCCAGGAGTTCTGGGCTGTAGTGCGATATGCCGATCGGGTGTCCGCACTAACTTCGCCATCAATATGGTAACCTCCCGGGAGCGGGGGACCACGAGGTTGCCTAAGGAGGGGCCGACGGGGGAAGGAACCGGAAGGAGAGGGGACAGAGAGCCCACAAGGGGCCCACCTGCTTTTTAGGCTGGGAAGCCTGCGAAGGCTGATGACGTATGTAATTAAGGATCAAATCCTTACAGTATCCTTTCAATTTTTCATTGGAACTGACACTTAAACTCTTAGACGATTTTCCTTCTTATTCTTTTAAAAGCTGTATTTTTTTATTTTATTTATTTATTTTTTGGTTTTTCGAGACAGGGTTTCTCTGTGTAGCTTTGCGCCTTTCCTGGAACTCACTTGGTAGCCCAGGCTAAAAGCTGTATTTTAAGTTTACCATGAACGTATTTTCGAGCTAACAAAAGTGTTTCAGGGCAACGTCGCCATCTTTAGCGGAAAAACTACCTTTCCCAGAATGCATTTCCCTTATATCAGTCCATAATAATATCATTTCCCTTATATCAGTCATTTCCCATAGTTCTTTTTTGATCTGAGAGTCAACTTCTAAGTTCTTTTTTACCATACTTGCTTACAAATTCTTGCCCGGGAGTTTTGAACAAAGTTTTTTGCTTTTGCAATGGGAGATTTGAACAAGCATTTTACATTTTCAGCTATGGCACATTGGGAGATTTCTAGTCTCTCCTCAGCTGGCTTCAACAGGTGTCTCTCTTTCATTTGACACTGGCCCCCCAAATCAGAACCGCACCTGCCTCGTTAGCGCGTGTTGAGGTGGGCAATTTCTGATAGCAACTTTCCTCGGGGCTTGTGTTTGCCTTAGCCAGTCAGTGAAAAACAAGATCATGTACAACAGCTTTTCCATAGCTCTTTCAGAGAGATTTTCTCCCACTGATTTTATTCTCATTTTGCTTGTCCCCACCCCCCCCATGCAGAGCTTCAGATATCTCAGGCTGCTCTGATCCTCTGCTAGCTGCCTTTGGAGGTAGGGGTCTTCCTCCCGCCCCCAATCTGCCTCAAACTCTTAGCAGCCTTCACAGGTCATGCATTTTCTGGGGAGGAATCTGTCCCTTCTCTTTCTTCAGAGTCTTTCTCCCTGACAGTATCCAGTTTGGTCTCGGTTTATCCCCTCTACCCCAGAAACAGTTTCCGACACTACAGTGGCGGCTCTCCCTGCTACTGAAGGTAGGGGCTTTTTGTCCGTTTGTTTTCGGGGTCTGTGTGGTTTGCGTACAGACTGAAAATCTAACAAGGGAGGTTTTTGCCATTTCTAAACTCCCGTTAGGACAGGTGCTTTGCCTCATCAGGCCTTCACCTGGCCCAGTCCCCCAATGGGTTGTGTTTGCTTGTCTGGGTGCTCAAGGACAGAGCTTATGCCAGAGGCAATCACCCCTCAGGGCTACACTCCCTCATCTCACCCGGAGTCAGTTGAAACAAAGCTTTTCTCAAAAAGATGCTTTCTCTGACAGAAAAGAAAGCTTTACTCCTGGATAGTTCTGTTCTGTCCTGGCTGGACTCTTTCCCCAGACAGCATTAACTCAGCAGCACAACTGCTTTAGACATAGCTTTACTGTTTTCCCAGAAAGGTCCTTTCTCTGATAGGAAAGCTTTTTTGCAGCTGTGAACCTATCATCCCGGGACTTGTAGGAAAGCAGATAACTGTGCCGTTCCCACTGGCTTTAGCTTTGTTTGTTCATTAGCAATCTTCCCCTGGATCCTGCACCTTCCTGCCTCAGCTCTGTACTCCAGGAAGTTTGCAACTGCAGGAACCCTAGTATCCCCGAAATGCACTCCAACTCAGAGACGCTGGCCAGTCGCCTCTGGGTTTTTGCTCAGGAGCAAGGATACAATGCTAACAGTTTGCATTGCTTCAGGGGATCTTTGCATTAGGACAATTAGGAGCACCTTTTCACAGCTCACTCAGAAACAAAACCCTTGATGCCTCAGCTCTGCTGTAACTGAAAAGCTTGGTTTTTTTGCTTTTCTCAGGTAGTTTCCTGCCCTTTTGGGCTCTCTGTAGCTCTTTACCCACACTCTCCCAAGCGTTTCCCTCAGGGTACTCTGACCCACTGTCTTTTACTGGCTTGAAGAGACAAAGCTTAGAAGAGGTTTTTAGGAAATTGTCCCTGCCTCCTGCATTGCAGGGATGATTTTTAAAGCTTAAAAGAGAACTCAGAGGTTTTGCTGTCTTAAGAGGTTTGTTGTTTTCCCTTAGAGCTAATCACAGGTGGTCCCCATACTAATATCTTCAGGTGATTCTAATTTTTGTCCTTCTGAGAGAGAAAGTTAAAGGCTTTAGTTTTTAAGAGAGCATTTGAAAAAGATTAAGGCTTTTTAGAGAGATTTTCCCCCCAAATTTTCCAAGAAAAGCTTTTTAGTTTAAGAGAAAGTTTTTTTTTTTCCCCCAGGAGAAAGATGAACTTTTCCCAAAACTTCTAAACTTTAAACTTTGACTTCTTACACCCCCATTTTTGCCTCAGGGAGAAAACACTTTCTCCTGCTGCTTGGACTTAGCATTTCAGCTGTCCCCAGGTCAAAAGCTTCCATAGGAAACTTTTTCTTCCCCATAAGCTCAGAGAAGAGCTTTTTTACTACCCGTAAAGCCCAAAGAAAGATTTTCCCCCCAGTTTGTATTCATAGCCCCCAAAGTTAGAAAATTGAAGAGTTTTTCTGTCTAGTTGCCTTACTTATCTTAAATTTTTTTCTATACAGTCTTACACTTCTAAGTTTTTCCTATACTATATTACTACCCTATACCTTATACTTATTTTTCACAGATAGAAATTGAGAAAGGGATAGAAGATAAAAAATTTTGACAGAAGAGAATTTTGCGCTGCAACATCAGACATCCTTCCAGTCTGCTTTCCTTTTCTCTCAAGGATGAAACCCCTGCCTCTCAATAATATATATAAAATATATATTTTCCATAACACCAGCATGCCTTTCCACTGACAGGGCTGACTCAGCACTTTTGCCAAATAAAACTATTATTTTCCTTTATCTTTAGTCCCTATTACTTTGTCTTTAGTCCCTGTTCATTTGTCTTTAGTACCCCCTTTTTTTAGTCCCCCCTTTTTTTCTTTAGTCCCTGTTCATGGCGCCATTCTGTGGGGCATTTACCCATCAACCCCACAGCTCCCCAGAGTTTTCTTGAGTGTGAGCAGCAGGAAATATTAGAAGGATTTATTGCGGAGAATATTGCGGAGATAAACAGATAGAAAATAAAGGATAGCCTCGAGAGGACCTGGAACCTTTTCCAACGGGCCCTGACTGTCTCTGCCCCAGGGTATTTATAGAGATGCCAAGGGGTGGAGCAAAAGACCTCCTCCCCCAGCACAGCCAAGTGCAGACCATCTCAGACACCTGCACTCAGGCCTGTGGTCCTAATCATCCTCTATGCGGACCTGCTGGGTAAAGCCACGAGGAACCCGAGAACGGGCTCCAACAGTGCTTCCCCCCAGTCAGTCCAGTACATGTACCCATGTGCAGGATCCAGGGCAATGGTCCTTGGCTGGTCCAGGTCCTGCCAGAAGAGAACCTTACGGGGCGCTCCATTGAGGTTGGCCACCTCGATGCGGTTGGTCTCCGAGTCTGTCCAGTACAGCTTCTTGCCTACCCAGTCACGGGCCAGGCCATCCAGTGACAGGAGGCCAGAGATGACACGCTCTGTGTAGCAGCTCCAGTCTGGTTCAGGTAGGCCTGTTTGATGGCCTCCTCGCTCACATCTGTCCAGTACACAGCACCCTTGGCGAACTGGAAGTCGACAGCGGCCGCATCATCCAGGCTGCTGGCCACAATGGTGGACTCCAGCTTCATTCCACCTGCATCCATAAGGCGCACATCCCAGCGGTTGGCAAACAGCAGGAGTGGTGAGGCCTCGGCAGGGGCCAGGCTGCCGCCGCTGCCACCATCTCCATGTCATCCGCCGGCCGGGAGCACATGGCTCCCGGCGCCTCCTGCACATACTTCTCCCAGTTCAGGGCCCAGCGAGTGTTCACCTTTAAGCTGTGAGGGAGCTACACGCTGGGAAGGAGTCTTTGATGAAGGAGAAGTACACACAGGCGCAGCCTTTCCAATGACATCTGTCCTCCCGCTGGGTTGCGGACCCCTGGAAGACCTGGAGGAAGATGTAAGCAAAGGGAAGCTACCATTGCAAATGTTGAGCGGTTCCCAGGAACTGTGGTCCAAGTTTTTGGTTGAGGTAGAGAAGGTCAGTGTCCTCATGGATGTCCTCATGCAGCCGTGTGTGGAAAGATGCTGGCCCAAGTGAAAGCTGGGGACTTCTTCAGGAGCATAGAGCAGAGGTATGTCATCCGGCTGGTCCACATACAGCCTCTCTTAGTAAGCATCCATTGAGAAGTAGAGGTCCAGTGGGGTTTTGCTCAGCAGCAGCAGCAGCAAAGACAGTTTTAGTCCCAGTCCCGGGGCGCTGGACATTGCTTTCGCCGTTGGCTGTGCGTGCGGGGGCTGCGGCGGAAGGGCAGGTGGGTCTATGGCGGTGGGGTGCGACCACACCAAAGGCCATCTCGGTATAGTCACCATTGTCCCCAGGCTCCGAGGACATTGAGGAGCCAGTAGAGGGGCCCTGGGAAGTGGTAGTGGATACTGGAAGCAGGTGGTAGAGTTCTCCTGGGGTGGGTGTCAGAGGCTGCTGTAGGGAAGATAGGGAGGCAGAAGGATGTGGGGGCAGCGGTGGTGTGGGAACGAGATCTCTGGGCTGTAGCAGGAGCCAGGAGGAGCAGGACGACCATCAGCTGGAGTACCGTCATCTGATGTCACAATAGCACACACTTGCAGCTCATGTAGCCAGGGCCTCTCTTATCAGGAGGGTTTAGCTCCCGTAGTTTGTGTTGCTGAATCTCACGTACAAGTGTGTAGAAGGCATCCTCCACACCCTGCCGGGTCCTGGCTGAGGTTTCGATGTAGGGGATGCCATAGCTGCGGGCAAGGTCCTGGGCCTGCCAAGATTTAACAGTACGAGTGGCCAGGTCACACTTGTTCCCCACCAGCACCATTGGCACATCATCCGAGTCCTTTATCCGTTTGATGTGCTCCCTGTACTGATGGATGTTGTTAAAGGACTTGGTGCTGTTGATGGCAAACACACAGAGGAAACCCTCCCCTGTGTGGATGCATTGGTCTCTCACAGTACCACATTCCTCCCAACCTGCTAGGATGTCCAGCAGACATGCATCCCCATCAATGACCACCTGTTTCCAATAGACATCCTCTATGGTGGGGTCATATTCATCCACAAAATTATTCTGGATCAGCTGGATGGTCAGGTCACTCTTTCCCACACCTCCAGCACCCACCACCACAAGCCTGTATTCTGTCATCATTTTTTGTAGGGACTGTCACTCCAGGAGCTCCTGCCCCACAAGGGGCACGAAGGAGTGGCTGGGGAGCAGAAGGCCCTGATTGGGGCCCGATTGGAGGATTGGAGTGTCCTTGTAGTCCTGAGGCCAGAGTGTAATGGCCTCAGGGTGCAGAATAACTGAATATGGGTGCTAACAGCTATTTATCAGATGATATTTGGCTCTGGGGTTAACTCCCTGTGTTTGTAAAAGGGGGTGCCTTTAGGAAGCGTTGACAAACCTATGTTATTTTTTCCTTGTTAGTCAACCTGACCTTGGGCATCTTCCTGTTGTGGAGGGGTGGGAAGAAATTTTAGGTTTCTGGCTGGGAGCCAGATTGGGGCTGTTTCTCCAAAGGGGAAGATGCAACCATACCCCCTCCCCATAGTAAGCAGGGGATCTGGTCCCCTCCACTGAAGTGTTAGAGGGTCCCTCCATTGTACTTGAATCTGAGGTTTGGGGTTTGATTGATCCCAATGTTTTTGAAATCTGGTTTCATTGGCTCCTTTGGACAGATTCAAAATATTAATAGTGAATAAGGCCTGATGTAACTGAATATGGGGGGTTACTCCCCCTTTTTGTTTCAAAAGCTGTTCTTTAAGGCATTGGTGGTTTCTTTCAATGATTGCCTGCCCTTGAGGATTGTGGGGGATTCCTGTGGTGTGTTTTAAATGCCATTGCTCAAAGAACTCTGTCATGGCCCTGCTGGTGAAGCAAGGTCCATTATCTGTTTTAATTTGTGATGGTAGGCCCAGAGTAGCAAAACATTGAAGGAAATGGAAATGTGCGTGTTTGGTCCTTTCTCCCGTGTGGGCTGTGGCCCAGCAGGCCCCTGAAAAGGTGTCTATTGATACAAAAATGTACTTAAGTTTGCCAAAGGGCGAAAAATGAGTAACATCAGTTTGCCAAAGGACATTTGGCTTCAGCCCTCTAGGGTTGACCCCTGGTGTCTGTAGGGGAGGCACTCTGAGAAAGGGCTGGCAGGCCTTGCATGTATGTATTATTTTTTTGATATCTTTAACAGGTGTGTGAGGGAATCTATGTTGCAAGCCCGTCCAATTAAGGTGGGTCAGGTCATGCAAGTTAGTGACCTCCTGTAATGTAAGCATTTGGGTCCCAGAGGCCAATTCATCCACCCACCTATTCCCCCTAGCCAAGAACCCTGGAAGCCTGGAGTGCCCTCTCAGGTGTGACACATCCCCTGAGGCTCATTAACGGAGAGATGGGGTTTGCATCCAGGCGAGTGTGTGCCTGGGGCAAAGGTGGTAGCAAATTCACCACATATAGGCTGTCAGAATATAGACTGAAAGGCCCCTGAACATTTTGAAGGGCCATGATAACTGCCAACATTTCTTTATATTGTGCTGATCCCTGGCAGGGTCTGAACTCCTGCACGTCTGGGGAGTCCCGATCATCTCAGAAAACGGCGAAGACTGAGCCTGCTCTGCCCCCATCTGTGAATACATGAAGGGCATCTGGGATGAGTCCTGATGGGAACAGTTGAGGAAGTTTTAACGGGAGTCTCCAGAGCATGACTGTCCATGGGGAAGGCCCATAATGGCAGCCAAGGGACCCTAAGAACCCTTCAAGGGAGAGTGCAAGCCAGACATTAGCTCTGGAAAGCCATTCCACATCAGCCATCCGAAAAGGGAAGACAATAGATTGAGGGTCAATTCCAAAGTGTCTCTGGGCTTGTGTTCTACCTCTGATTACAGCATCTGCAAGCTGATCAGCCTGAGAGTACACTCACGGCACGCTCCCCAGGGAGGTGTGGACCCATTCAATAGGCTCTCCCTCCTGTACCAGTACCGCTGAGATTAGGGTGGCAGTTGTGAATAACCAGAGGGAGATGGGAAGATCAATAGAATATCTCCTTAGGAAGACCTTATCAAGGGTCTCCTGAATCTGCAGGAGAATGGCCCGATGTTCAGGTGTGAGGACAATGATATCCTGAGGTTTCTTGCCTTTCAGCAAGGAGAACAAGGGTACAAGGTCCTCTTTGGAAATGGGAATCCAGGGCAGTAACCAGTTGATTTCTCCCAGAACACTCTGTAACTGAGTTAGGGTCAAGGACGCAGGGACATCCAGCTTGGGCTTGAGTGGGCATGCTTGGGTCAGAGTAATCTCTGTACCAAGAATCTTAAAGGGTGCCACCCTCTGAACTTTGTTGGGGGCTACTGTGAATCCTCCTTTCTGTAGTTGTTCTAGCACTTTGTATACCAGATCTTGTAAGTGGGAGGGGTCCCTATGTCCCAAAATGATGTCATCCATATAGATATATGTAAGTGACCCATCCTTCCTTAACAGGGGCCCTAATAAGGTGGCTAGGTATTGTTGACAGAAAGCTGGGCTATTGGCCATTCCCTGGGGTAACACAGTCCACTCAAACCTCTGATCAGGTTGAGAAAAATTAAGGGAAGGAATGGAGAAGGCAAATTTAGAACAGTCGTCTGGGTGGAGGGGAATAGAGAAAAAACAGTCCCTAACATCTATTACCACTGGGGCATACTCAGCAGGTATGGCTGGGACCCAGGGCAAACCCCTCAGAGGGGTGCCCACCAATTCCATCCTTTCATTTACTCTTCTTAGGTCCTGAAGCATATGCCAGGCTCCAGAGGCCTTTTTGATGACAAAAACAGGTGTATTCCAAGGGCTCATGGAAGGGCGTACATGCCCAAGGTCCAGTTGTTCCTTGACTAGAATATGAAGCTGTTAGTTTTTCAGCTGCGTTGTGTTCTTACCCTGCAAGGAAATGCCACGAAACACGACAGAATCCGCTAACAAGAGTTTTATTAAAGGTAAAGGGACAGAGAGTGAACAGGCCTGCGGGAAACACGTGTGTGGAGAAGAAGGAACCAGGAACATGGTGCCAGATTTTAAAGGCTGGGCGTGGACAGATCAGCGTCACTACTACAAGCAAGCGCGTAGATCACATGGCCATGTTGCGCGCCTACGTGGCTAGTGGAACGTCACGGATCTTGGTCACGCAAGATGCCCTGACCCAGAAATGGCTATCCTGACCTGGACCTGGCTAGGCGGAAGTGTCCGCCAGGCATATGCAAACACACCTGACCGTGGGGGCTTGTTGTAAATCTTTCAGAAGCACCTCTAGCTTAGGTCTAGTAAGTGGCCACTGCTCCACCCATATCGGGTTACCCAGTTTCCACCTAATAGGGGGTAACTGGGGGGCAGTGGCCTCTAGGATTGGGGGTAGACCCAAGTAGGCTTATTAGGGTCATTCCTGTAATGGGCGAAGAAGTCCTCACCCTTTATCTTCTCTATTCCCCATCCCTTGCCTTGGGCTTCTTCTTCCTCCAAAATGTCATCATAAAAGGCCCGATGGTGAGCACTGCATCCCTTTGGGATAACATGTCCTGTCCCAGAAGGTTGGCCGTGAGGTTATCTGCCACAAGCGGGTGTATCTTGCCCTGTTCTCCATCTGGGCTGGTCCATTTAAGGAGTACAACCATCTCAAAGGACTGGGTGTTCCCCCCCACCCCAAGTTTTTGGGGTCCAGCTGCTAAGTCCTAATGAGGGGGCACCTCCTCCTGGCGGATTACTGTCCTGTCAGCTCCTGTATCCACTAGAAAGTGGAACCTTTTTCCACCTGTAACAACACTCATCTTGGGGCGGTGACCTGGGGTCAAGGGAATGGTCTAGTTGGCATGGGCCACTCTGGAGGGCCGTGCCTGCCCCCTCTTAAGGGGGACTCCTCCTTTGGTTGACGGGGCTAGAGGGCACCCCTGTTCTAGTTTAAAGGCTTCCCATCGATATCAAACTTTGATCTACAGTCTTTTCTCCAATGATATCCCTTCTGACACCTAGGACAGGGGGTGGTAGGGTGCCTTATTTCTCCTGACCGACCTAAGGCCTTTTTTTGGCCATTGGGAGGCTGTTGCAGAGGACACTCTCGCTTTAAATGTCCCTCCTGCCCACATCTAAAGCAGGCCCCCAGGGTCGTAGGCTTCGCAGTCCCCTGACTCTGGGTTGCCAGGGTTCGTGAAAAAGCTTCAGTCAGGGCAGCCGTCTGAGATTGCAACGCTAAGGCCAGCGTCTGGTTCTGGTGATGCTGGGTGCCTAGATCTTGTGTGGCTACCACTCACCGGCCCATGGAAGTCTCTTTCAGCCCTGCACAGGCAGCACGGTGTTCTGAATTCATTCCATCCCAGATCAGACTCTTTATAAATTGGTCCCAGAGGGGTCCAGTTGGTAGTTTGTGATTAATGCTTTGTTGGACCCAGTCTATAAATTCTGATAGGGTCTCATTGGGCTTCTGCCTGACTCCAGCTATGGGGGATTCTGTAGGTCCCTCATCTAGCTTACCCCAGGCTGCTAGTCCTGCCTGTTGCACCTGGTCTCAGTGTGGCGCTGGGACCACGGCCTGCTGGACCCCAGAAGAGTACCCGTCAGCAGTTCCTGCCAACATGCCGTAAGTAATCGGGATCGCGGGCTGAGCAGCTCGTTGGCCTCTGCTCGGACTCTACATTCCTCCTTATAGTGGGCACACCATTTGATACATTGGGTGCTTGAGAGGACAGCCTTAGCCAGGTCCAGCCATTCCTTGGGGACACAAGGATTATACGCAATACCCTGCAGTAGGATCTGGGACCAAGGGGCATTTGGCCCATCCTCTGCCACTGCCTTGTGGAGTTCCTTAAGGTCTTTAGCCTCCCATGGGTACCATTCTTGTGGCCTATTAGGGCCGGGGGCCAGATTAACGGAAAATGCCTTGAGGGTCTGTTCTTGGGGCCCTGTGCCACTGGCTCCCCGATCCCTGGCTGATGGCCAGTCATAGGTACCCCAGTCACATAAGTCCCTTCTAGGGGTAGTATATGGCAAGGAGCATCCCCCGTTTCAAGGATATAAGGCAGGGGGCCCTGCTCCTTCGGGGCATATGGATCATAAGGGCAGAGGGGGTGACTTTAAACTTGGTCTCTTCACCCTCCTGGTCCTCTTTGCCTTCCCTGGCTTCCCCTGGCTCTTGGGGATTTTTTGGAAAAATAGCATTACCCATACTGAGGGTTTCACTTACCCTGGAAGACCGCTTGGCCTCAGCCAAAGTACTTCAAGTCCCACATTTAGGGCACCAGCTGTGGGGACCTGCCCCACCGGGAACTTAGGTCACCTGTGA